CCCCCTCAAAAATTAAATGGCCGGCCCCTTAGTTCAGGTTGTACTTGTAATTTTGTAATGAAACCCCTGAGTTTTGTTTATTGCTAAAGAACTTAGTTGTGTGTGTTTCATCACAGGCTGAGTGGGAGGCACTGGAGATTGTCTGTCATGAATGGTCACTAGAAAATGTGGAGGAGGAGATGATGGAAGATTTTTCACCAACAGACCTTATGGAGGACATTGCAAAAGACAAATATGTTTGATAGACATCTAACTTATCACCCTCTGATCTATAGATCCCAGTGCTAGTGCCCTCAAAACATTTATATGGCTCTGAACTGTGCCCTTGACAGGCAAAACCTGTCTCTTTGTGGTCCATGTAGTACAACGTTATGTTCATTGTGGTAGGAAATTCTGAAACTTTAACAATGGTTAATCTTCTGAAAACTCTAAGGAACCCAGGCGCTTTGGACAAAAAAGGTGCAAAGGATGAGAAAAAGGTCATGGTCAGATGGAAAGTCTAGCATACTAAGGTGGCTGATAGAATATGAAGTTGTATTACACCCTTGATGTCAAACGACTAAACCCATAGAAGAAAGCAACGGTTGTTAAATAAACATCGTTAATGATGGCCTTATTGCAAGTTTGTCTTTCCTGTTATTCTTTTTTAACTCTAGTTATTCTTTCCAAGTACTCTACTCAAGTTCAACTTGAGCCAGGTGAAAAGAAATTAAGGAGGCTTTTTCTCTTTTCTCCGGGCTTTCTTTCTGTCATTCCCTGCTATCATGCTTCTATAACTCTTTCCCATATTTCTTCTACCCTTATAAAAAAGATTTGAAGATACAACCTTGAAATCAGGCATGTTCCTAATTGTCAGGAGGAAACAATCAAAGCTTTATTTGAGGGAAAAGACCTATCATCTGCTTTTTGAACGGGCTTATTAAGATTGTATAAGTAAATGCGAGGAAGGCGTAATGGCGGACGAACGTGTCCATACGGCGCTCTTCTATCTCGTGCTTTTATCTCTGTCGTATCGCGGACCTGAAAGGAAGTCTCTCTTAAAATACTCAGGCAACAGCGCTATCATTGATGTGAGTGTTTTGCCAGACTGGATTTCGCCAGATCGAGTTGCTTTTTAGCAAGATTCCCAACAGCAATTTATGCAAAGCCGAAAGCAAAGAGGTACTTAGGAGAGAGAGTCGTCTACTATCGTAATGCTACGACTACAACGCAGTTTGAGTTGCTCAAACTGTCGGGCGATATTCCTAGTAACCCTGGACAGGTCAAAGGATCCAGTTATACAAGATCTCTATGTGCTGGATGTGGAAAAGCTCTGAAGAAAATCAAAATGGCGTTCCTTGCAGTGGTTGCATCGACACCTATCAAAGGAAATGCACTTGCATGAATTTCAGGGAGTTGCGATCCTATTCTATGGCATAGTTTCCAACATGGTACTGTATTAGATGCTCTCTACCTCCACTTAGTGATAGTTTCTTTGAAAACTCAACTCTCGAAGAAAAGCAAGATGAGGTAGAGTCGGAGTCAGTGGACGAAACCTGGTCGAGATTTGATCAAATTGCCGGGAATAATGTTTGAAACTTTAAACTGGGACACATTAACGCTAACAGCATCGGCGGTTTCTAGCTTCATGAGATCAAATCTTGGCTTCTTCCTAGTAAACTCGACATTCTGATTATATCTGAGAGCAAAATCGAGGCGACTTTTCCGGACATGTTTCATGTTGATGGTTTTCGATTGTGTCGTTGCGACAGAAAGGCAAGTGGCGGTGGTTTATTAGTGTATGTTAGGAGCGACATCTACTTTATCCGAGTCAAACAAATAAAAGGGCTCTCTTCTGAAAAGTGGTCAAGTTTTAAAACCGAATCTATCGTTCTCAGGATTAACCTTGGGAAAACTTGGATCACTGTTTGTGGAATTTACCGGCCTCCGTCCCTAAATCCCAATGGTGTCATGAGCTATCATTATTACGGTGGCTCACAGGTGCCACTGCTGCACAGTGTAAAACAAACACGTTTCTAATTAAAACCTTGCTTTCTCTTTGCAATTTTTCTTGTTTTCCGTACCAATATAAGTCTGTTGCTTGGAAATGAGCCTCCTCTGTAGAAATCCGCGTCCTCCGTAGAAATGAGCCTCCGTGGAACTGAGCCTCCTCCGTGGATCTGAGCCTCCTCCGTAGAAATGAGCCTTCTCCGTAGAAATGAGCCTCCTCTGTAGAAATGAGCCTCCTCTGTGGAACTGAGCCTCCTCCGTGTAAATGAGCCTCCTCCGTGGAACTGAGCCTCTTCCGTAGAAATGAGCGTCCTCCGTATAAATGAGCCTCCTCCGTAGAAATGAGCCTCCTCCGTAGAAATGAGCCTCCTCCGTAGAAATGAGCCTCCTCCGTAGAGCTGAGCCTCCTCCGTAGAAATGAGCCTCCTCCGTAGAAATGAGCCTCCTCCGTAGAAATGAGCCTCCTCCGATGAACTGAGCCTCCTCCGTAGAAATGAGCCTCCTCCGTAGAAATGAGCGTCCTCCGTAGAAATGAGCCTCCTCCGTAGAAATGAGCCTCCTCCGTAGAAATGAACCTCCTCCGTAGAAATGAGCCTCCTC